GTATGACAAGTTGGATGGATCTAAATGATGCTTCAAGCTCCAGTTCCCTCTTCAGCCTCACTGGGGCCTGTTGGCAAGTAAGGCTGAATACTGGATAGAAAATAAGAGACTTATCCTGGTGGGGTATGAAGCAAAGTAAAATAGTAAAAAACAAAAAATCAGATTGAACCACAATTAGGTTCTTTAGCTCAGGTTCTTCCAGCACAGATTAAAAAATGCTCATGTTTTGTTGACATTTTGGTCAACGTAAGTATTTCTTTTAACACAAAATGAACATGTTCTATGACCATGTTACTTGACCATTTTAATTCAGCATTTTTAGATAAAAACTGTTTCAAAACAGGAAACAGTAACTTTATTACTAAAACATTATTAGAACAAATTCTTCAGCTTAGCATCAGGAAGTTTAGCAGCTTCCACCCACCTTGTTGTGCTGTGAGGTTATGCTCACACTCAGCTTTCTGTTCATTTAATCCAGAAAACATTCCTTCTGATGGAGCCGCAGCACCTCATTGATTTCACTGGCACATTAATGCCCCCATTGGGAATTGTACTTACCAAAAGGGAAATAAACAGGCATTCACCTGAGAGATGGGACACTAACTCGGGAGCTATTTTTGTTAGATTATATAGCTGCCCAATCATGCTTTTTTTCCCTCTGGGAAGCTGTGACAGCATCTGCCACACACTTTTATAATGTCCTGGGGGGAATTCAGAACGATGGCAGCAAAATGCCTGAGAAAAACTTGTACATCCTAAGGCACATAGTTAAGTATGTATAAGGGCTCTGAGTATAGGCTTTCATTAGCTTGACATGAAGATAATGTATCAGATGGCTGATCATGTTGAGCTAAGTGGGCTGCAGTCAATTCCCAGTAAAGACAACTGGAAGTCTTATAAACCATAACAAAGTGGGAAATGCCGAATTTTGGGTATGTACATCAGGGAGCCGACTCACAAGGTAACACCGGACAGATAATTTTCAGTCTTTACAGCATAAAAGTGGCCCAACAATCCCTCTTCATTCCCAAAGCCAAAAAACAGTTTGTGGAGTATAATACCAAGCCAGTGTGAGCAGTGCAGCCCTTCAGACACCCAGCACACCCTGTGGACCAGCCATCCCACATCCCTGGCAGCAGTGGGCAGAGCTGCTGCATGGGATGCCTGCAAGCACAGAGCTTCCCATGCCTCGTGGCATCACCAGTGGTGGCGTTCCCATTGCCCATTCTTCACTGCCCCTTCCCAAGGGACCTGGCAGCCCTCCTGCCACCTGCCCAGAAGCATGGGCCATGCATCAACAAGATGCATCAAAAAAACCAGCTCACCATCATGCTGGTGAAAACACAGGTCCTTCAGCCCCCATGCTGGAGCCAGTGTGGTCCATTGTGGCCAGAACATTGCTCATCCCAAGGCTGTAGAAACCCCAATGGGCTGCACTTCATGGGATAGGACTGGACTGTAAATGCTATGTAGAAGACTTGTAACAAATAAAGAGCTTGCTGTTGGTTTAGGAGAGACACTGAGGTCCCTCCCCTCAAATGCTAAGTTAATAGGATTCCAGCACACTTCAAAATAATCCACCAGAACTCGGCAGTGGATGCTTCTAGAGTTAAAACCTTGTCTTACTGAGCACTGCCTGGGAAAGCTAAAAAACCACTGAGCCATGCTACAATATGCAAGTATTAAAAGGTAAATTGTATTAGGTGCTACCTACCATCACAGTAATGCATATCTTGGGGTTTCAACTGCACCTCTGCCACAAAAACCTCTTAAAGCAGGCTTACTTTGCCTGCTTTAATATGGGCCACTGTTCAAATAAAGTAGTCTTTTTGCAGAGCATGAGCAGGATTAGGAACTAGAACTGACTTATTTCGTGCCTCCTAAGAGGAAGGAGCAATGGACGCAGCCTCAGGAAATGAAAAACCAAACCAAGAGAGTATGTTCAAAAGAAAATGCAGAATTCCAGAACACAAGCTGGTTTCTTTTGCTCTGGGGACAAGGTGGCTGACTTACTGGTGACTAGATTTACTGAAATGCATCAGTGATGTTCTTTGTATCAGCATTTTGACCTTCAGAAGGTGAACACATCTGAAGAGGTCGGCTTCCCCATGGGGTAATGCAGCGTTGCCTCCTTAGCCCAGTGCTGATGGAAGGAGAGGGCCATCAGGCAGAGGTGGCTGGGCCAGCCTGGGAGAAGAGGCCTTGGCAAACATCGTTACTGTAAGATGCAGCTCTCTTCTGCAGAACCCCAGTAATGGAAAAAGCATGCAGATACTGAAGACGCAAATGCAAAATGCAGCAGAAAGTACTGTAACAAGCAAAACTTGAACTTCCTCACTGACTGACCAGAGACTGATTGAGGAAAGAGGATCAGCTGAGTTCAGGAACAATATTCTGACACTTCCCTAGCAGAAAGATGAAAGAGGGGCACAGAAAGCTCAGGAGAGCACTGAGGGAACCACGTATCTGTGTGCAACAAGGAGAGGAGGGAAGCCCTTCAAAGACCTGCCCCACAGAGCCAGCCAGGGGGCAACAGCAGGCTTAGGACATCTGCAAGCAGACAAATGTCTATGTAGAACTCAGGCAGCAGGAGAAGCAGGGCTGAGCATGGAGGTCAGACACCTACCATCAAGCAGCAGAGGTACCTTGCAGCTTCACAGACCTCAGTTTGGCAGCAACCGTCCCACCATGGGCTGCCCTTGGGTGTCCCAGGGAAGCGGAAGGACAAGGGAAAAGCCCTGCAGAGCCTGCAGACATGGACAAGCTCCACAGTGGGCTGCTCAGCCACATCCCCACACAGCTCTCCCATCCCCATGAGGAAGGGCCTCCACACTGCAGCATCCTCCTACTGCCCAGCTCCAAGATGCCACCAGGCTGTCCCCTCCAGGGCAATCCAGCTGCTGCCTCCCATGAGCAACAGCTTCATGGAAGGCACGTGCTCTTCATTCTGAACAAACACACACTGTACAGATCAGAGGTAAAAGATTTTATTATCCCATGGATTTTTCCTAAGAAGTAAGAGTCCTACCAGACAAAATATACAAAGCATCTTATGTTTTCTCTCTAGACAACTGCATTCTCATTGTATGAAACAGTGACCACCTTTAAAGAGACAAGGTTTGTCCTTACAGCTGCGGGATTGCACAGAGTTAGCATATTCAATGACCAGTTAATTCATGCAGAATCAGAAGGAAGGGGAAAAAAGGTCTGTATGCTCACCTGAGTGCAGGCTTAGGCTCCTAGAAATAAACTCAGGGCTTAAATTTACCAGTCTGCAGCACTTCCATTAAGGAAACCAATCCTCTTACCCACTTCTTCTCATCCACTCAGCAATGAAAGATTAGGTCTAGCAGCAAGTTACCATTGGAAAAACACAACACTAGAAAAGCAAATACCTCTCTGGCAGTGGGAAACCTTCCTGACCAACCTGCATGAGGTACACGTAATTCTTCATTTTACATCAAGCTTAAAGCAGAATGAAACCAAAGCGTCCTCCTCTACTTGTTAAAACTTGACGTTTATAGACGACTCTGTTTATATAGAAAAATAAATTCTCAGCACTAAGGACATACTAATACCTATTGCATTACTTGACCATTTAGAGATCCTGCTTTATTTTCACATAATTAACTCACTGTATTATTACTTAAAAGTTTTACTCTAAAACATATTCACTTTTTTGGTTGTGCTGAGTTAATGATTGTACTTGCATTTGCTTTATCCTTCCTCTTCTAAAACAACAAGCTGTGAATTTCAGCAGATGGTGAACAAGTCCAGATTTGCTGGAAACCAGTTAACAAGAATGTGCCAAGCTGAAACTCACTCCATTCTTTCAAGCCAAAAACCTGCCTTCATTTCAAGAGCCTAATTAGTTTTAACTATATTTATGGAACAGAGGGAAGGATATTTAATTACTCGTCATTTTTTCTGTCTGATGATCAACAGAAATGTAGTTTCAATCACACAATTCCTCTGCAGTATATTGATCAGGTGAATCTTGCCTCGTATCAATACCTGTACTAGAATGGTGCCTGCAGATAACATGATACACTGCTGGACTACAGGAAGCACTATGAAACCAGCTTTCATCAGAGGCGATAAACAAGATTACACACATTGTTAAAAACAGTGAATTAAAAAAATCTGCTTCTGCACTTGCCAGTAACTCCCAGCTCTGCTGCTGACACCTCTTTGTATGTAGGCACGGCACCCCATCCGCACACAGATGGGATCTCGACAACTCAGGAAGACAGACGCCATGAACATAATCTTCCCAAGCAAGCAGAGCTGGCCAGGACAGACAGAGGGCTGGAGTTAACCACCCAGCTCTACCCACAGCCACGGCTTATAGAAGGGACATCAATGGAGCATTGACACCTCACATCCAAGATTCACCTCTATTTACATGGGCAAAGCAACAGCAGATCTGCCCAGGATCCACAGCAGCTCCAACTGTGTGTTAGAGGAAGGGCTACACAGCCTTGCACTTCACCTTCTGCTTTGTGGCAGGGGAGCAGGGACATGCTGTGTCATTTCTGTCATTCCCAACCCACCTCCTTGCCCTGGCCTCCTGTCCACCCTGAACACCCACCAGGATACCCTGCATTGCTCCGTGAGTCACACTGAGCCATGTGTTCAGGAGGAGATGTGAGGGGTGACACCAGGAGCCATAAAAACAACAAAGTGGTTGCTTTCAATGGTTGAATACCTGGTCTTCATAGGGACCACCACAGCAGGGCTTGGGCAGAAACGCTCCTTCTGCTGAACTTTCTGAACCACCCTGTCTGTAACCTCACAACTATTATTTTCCTAAGTGCATCTGGTTACACATTTCTGGTCACTACATAAGCACTAAACCAGTAGCCCTCGTCTTGTGCATACACCACCTGTCTCAGTGCCGAGGCAGCCTCCAAACACTATACCAGCCTGAAATCCCTCAACCTATTTCCAGCACTCCTATTTCTCGGGCATCCCTTCTACACCTAACTTGCTTCCAAAGAAGATTCCCATCCTGTGGTATGGAAGAAGCCGCATCTACTCCCAGGTTATCTTTCACCACTGTGTAAATTTAAGCCCAGCAGGCGTCTCAGGCAGGTAACGGGGAGAGAAGAGAATCCACTGTGATGGACCCCAGAGGTTAGAGCTGCGTAAGCAGGGGAGGGAGTAAAAGAAATAAGACAGATTACCATGTCTAAAGAGAGGACTGAGAGCATGTGTGTGCAAGCAAAGCCAAGGAAGGTTACATCTGGAGAGTGGCTTCATGACTTCCCACAGATAACGGTTTCGACCACAAAAGTGTTTTCAAAGTGACGAATGCGATGACAGTTTCCAGCCTCACGTCGACTGATGCCTAAAAGTGATTAAAAGAGAGAAGAGGGGAAATTCAACCAATGATAATCTGTAAGAGCTGCAGCAAGTGGGGGAAGGCAAGCAGATGAGGTGCAACTGCTGAACACTGAAATGCAGGAACAACACAGCCCATAGGAAAAGCAGCATAACGTGGTCTTTGGAAGAACAGCCGCGTTGTCTGGGCCATGGTTCTGCAGTAACAGCTGCCATGAGCTGCCTGGAAACAGCTGGTTTCAGCTGACAACATCTCATCTCAGTGATATCACAGAGACCAGAAAGCCTCATGAAACCAGCAGAAGTCACAGGCTGGTACAGACCACAACTCTGAATGCAGTCAAGGAGAGCTTAAAACAGCCACCTCTCCGTAGCCGTCTGTATCCCCACTGATCCTGCTATGGCCCCAGCATCTCTGGGAAACAAGGAATGATCCCCATGCCCTTAAACTGCAAGACCTCAACTCTTGGCAGCTCTGCCAGACAGGTACTCCCTTCTTACAGCAACCCCAGTGGTGCCCTGCTGACAAACAGGACAGCACCAGGGCTGCATGAGCGCAGCAGCTGGCATGCCAGCAGCCCTGTGCACAACTGTGCAGCTCCCATTGGGAAAGCAACCACGACCTACAGCCATGGAGACTTATGCACCCTGCTGCTTCCCCAAAGGCCCAAACCCAAACTGACTACAGGTGAGCCTTTAAGTACAGCAGTATCTAAACATAAATAAATACAAATACTGCACTCCTCCTGCAAAATACTGCTGCAAAACACTCCCTAACGGAGGGGTTTGCAGCAATATTACCATTTGTATATAAGATACATATTGCTGATTTTCATGAAATCATTTTAAGGTAGTCTAATTTTCCCTCTTGACAACTTTTTCCATATTATTAGGAACTTAATTGATTAAGGGTAATTTGCAGATCTGCTCTGCTCTGACTAGCTGCCACTGAGCCAGTGTCTCCATTAGGGAAATTCTCCATACAGTTCCCACCAGCACCACTATTAGTTCAGCCACAGGAGCCCAGAGGTAAAGGACTTGCTGGCTTCTGCAACCATTATCTCCATGTTTCTACTAGGCTGATAGGCAACAGAAACACAGCAGCCAGCACCCATCTGCAGCAGCAGCATCCCAGGTTTGGGTTTAGATGAACCAGATGAGAAACGCCTTCAAAGATCTCCTGTGTGCCTACACCCACAAGGAAATCTCCCCTCTTGCCATGAAGAGGCCAGCATGGCTGAAACAGCAGCAGTAACAACTGTGATGCTGGGGGGAAGCGAGTCAGGACAGCTGAACGTGGCAAGGCTCTTACGTCTCCTCGTGCTCCTCCGCTTCAGCCTGTAGGTCTCCTTGCCGCTGCAGAGGCGGTAGATGAAGGAGCCGAGCTGCTCCATGTCACTGACGTGCTCGGTGGCGATCATCTCCTCCTGGATTATGTATGTCTGAGGCAGGTATGTCCCTTTCTGAAATGACACAGTTTCCACCAAAATAAAGCACAAATGGTGCCATGATCTCCTTGAACAGAACTGTCTCACAGAGTGCCAAGGACAGACACACTGGGAAAAATCCAAGTTTGATGGCTCAAACTCCACTTACTGCGTCCAGTTAACACAATTCTTTCACCTTGCAGCAAACTGTCCCATGCTACTAGCCCAGAGCACACAAAACTGATTAGATCCAAAAAGTGAATGGATGAAGCCAGTGTAGGATCAACCCTGTTATAAACTAACACCAGTTTTAAAGGAGGGCGTGCAGAGCTTTAACTTGGATCCCTCCTCTCTGGAGAGGGATCAAGACTCAACAAAAATCCCAGGAACTCCACTGAAAATGGCAGAAATCAGAAGTGTCAGCCCTGCTTGGGTTCCAACAGCTTGCTGAGTATTCCACGTTTCCCCCTCCTCTTTGTTTCATTCAGCACAGCCACAGTGATCTCCTGCCCCTATAGCCCACAGTAACAAAGACTACATATGGGCCATGGGCACCACATTCAATCACACCACCCTGCAAGGTCATGCTAGGTGCTCAGGGAACAGAGAGCTCTCAGCATACTTCCATCACCCCACAGCCATCGTCCAGGGACTCTGCGGCAGTGCAGGGAGGCAGCCCCCAGCAGGGAGCAAGCTGAGGCAGAGCAGGACATGCAAGCTCCCTGCAGTTGGGGTGGAGGTCACTATGAACACCAGAGTAACGAGGAGGCTGCCTGACAAAGAGACATGGCAGAAAGCCACCATGGGCTGGAGAAAATGGGGTACCTGGGAGCATCCCAAGGAGGGAGGCTGCCACTTTTCCTGCAGGAAGGCATTGCTCTACTTGGCATTGAAGACTCTGCAAGCTGATTCCTGGGTGCCAGGCCACCTTGCAGTTCTCTGGGCATTGGTAATCATAGAATTATACAATAGTTTTGGCTGGAAGGGACCTTCAAAGTTCATCTAGTCCAACCCCCTGCAGTGAGCAGGGCCATCTTCAACCAGATCATGTTGCCCACAACCACACCCAGCCTGGCCTTGAATGTCTCCAGGGGTGGTGCATCCACCACCTCTCTGGGCAACCTCTGCCAGTGTTTTACCACCCTCAGTGTAAAGAGTTTTTTCCTCACGTCCAGCTTAAATCTCCCCTCGTTTAGTTTAGAACCATCACCCTCTGTCCTGTTGCAACAGGACCTGCTAAAAAGTCTTACCCCATAATAAGCAGCTGTGTTACAAGTACAGCTTGGGTTGGCGGTCATTTCTGAGCACACTAGATGCTAACCAGGCCATGAAGTAAATAATCACTTCTGGTCCCTTTTCCTTAAGAAGAAATAAAAGAACTAGCAGATCCTGGGGCCAATATAATCAATGGGAAAAGCAAGCAACAACAGCACGATTTCAAATACTACCTCTTCAGTTTCCACCACAGGACTGGTTACCTCCATAGAGATGTACCTGGAAACGCATCGTCTTTGTGCTGTGCTGCTGGGCTGGCATATCCTGCTGGATCAATAAAGCTCTCCTCTGCTGGAGGACTAGATGATTAGCGGAAGTTTATCCTACACTAACATGACAGTTCTGCAAGAAAGTCAATTATTGATTCTCGGTGGGAGAGTGCAGGAGAGGGCATTCGATATATGCAGTTACTGGCAGGAGCTGTCACATTAACACCCAGGGCTGGGGCTCAGGACTGGCCACATCCCTGATCTGGTGAGAGGGCTTAGAGAGAGACACATGCACACAACCCATTTCTTCATTATTTCAGATTTAAATCGCTGTGGCAGCTGAAGTAGTCAGGAATCATCACCCCTCTGTGGCAGCACTGTGCAACAAGGATGATACCTTCAATTCTCTGCCAAGAGCTTTAAGAAAACTAAAGCTCTGAGCATCTTGCACTCTGAAAAAGGTGTGGACTGTCCATCACTTAAGTGGTTCATCTCCCAGCTTCCTGGTGCTGCACAGGGGAGCATCCCTCCATCCTTTTCTCTTCAAGACTTATGCCGTTCTCGAAACTGACACACCTATGCAGAATAAAGCCTGCAAGAAGCAGCAGAGCTGCCATTTACAGGCAAAAAAATCAGATACAAGAGGCCTGGTAATGCATACATGGTGACAGCCACACTGCAAAGGGGCACCCCAGCACCAGGCTGCTCAGGGAAGAAAGGGCAAAGGGGTTTCTGTGAATCCCTGTGCTGCCACAGTCTGCTGGAGCAAACCACTGATGTTTATTTGCTGGACTGAGGTTCGGTCCTAGAAATAAGACTGAAGCCACTTAAAAACTAAACTTTCAGCTGGAAATCAGTCTCATTCTTTAGGGACTCGACTGGATTCAGAGATGCAGAGAAAGCAAAAGTCTCCGACTCCAGGGACCAACAGTAGTGGGGCAATTCATCAGGTGATGAAGGTCCCTGCAGCAGGAGGAAATGTGCCCCCTCTGCCTGACACAGGCCACCTGCAAGGCCCTGCCTGTGGACATGAAGATGACAGGCTACGAGAGAGAGATAATTCATCTGGGGAGGGACCTCAGGGCTTTACCCAGTCTGGTCTTGAAATCCAAGGATTTCAAGATGGCAGCACAATGGGCAACCTGTTCCACTGCTTCACGGGAAAAAACTGTTTCTGAGCTCAAGACCAAGCTCAACAAAACCAATGTGCCTAAGGTGGCCCCAGATAGACTGGACACCTACTCATCCCAATAATCAGAAAGATATTTAAACTCATACCTGCTTTGTGCTTTCTTTAAAGAGATATGTAAGACCATACACATCAGCCCATTTTTATTGTATTGCAACCCCCTTTTAAAATTCAATTTCTGATAAAGACATAGTACAATTTTCACTGGCTCTAAGTTTATATCCGTTATTTTAAGACCTGACCAGCATTCCCAATCTCTTGGTTTTTCTTCTGGGACTCTGCTGTCAGCTTGTGTAACCCTGCATTTTCCATTTCCCTCTGCCCCACGGGCTGGTCACCTGCCCTGGTCAGAAGCAAGTTGTAAGTAAATGCATGTCACACACCAGCAGGGTTCCCAGCACAGTTGACAGATGGTCACAGTGCATGAAAGGACTTGCTAGGAAACAAACTGGGAGCTGGACAAGGACTGGAGATCAGTCATCTCTAAAGGCACAGCCTTTTGCCTGTGAACCCCTACGATGTTCATCACACAGCGTGTAGCAGCAAGTGAGCAAAGAGAATTTAAGAGAGAGAATTAGACTGTTGGTTTCATTCCCTTCCTTTTCTTTTCCTTTCCTTTCTTTTCCTTCCCTTTCTTTCTTTTCCTTCCCTTCCTTTCTTTTCCTTCCCTTCCTTTCAAACAGACCCTCACAGAAGGGAGTAAAAGACCCAGGCTCAGTGCTTGGTTTTACCTTCAGAAGGCTGAGATAGATACGCACCTTCTGCAGTCTTAAAAATCCTGTTTTGCCTTTTTAACCCTGCTGTTAGGATTAAAGAGCACTCTATTTAAGATGACTGCTTTCAGTCAGGGGCTTCTGAACTGAACCAAACTCCTGGTACTAAACCCAGTTAATACCAGCTGCGAGCAAAACCATATGAGCCCAAGTGTGGTGCTGTACTCAGCACAGCAGGGAGGGCAGCACAGATTCTCCCTCAAAAGGGTGAAAGCTGAAGGCCTGGTACTCCCTGAAGGCCACCAAGAGCTCTGCAAATAGCAAACCACAGCAATAACCACGGTAAGAGCGAAAGGAGGGAAATGTTTCTTTCTTTGATTCCTACAACCAATGAACACTGGAGGGAAGGAATCTGTTGCTTCTCCATGTCACCCTTGTCAGGTTGATCTGTCGTGCCAGTGTTATTGTGCTGCCTGTAAATTCATACTCCAGCTAAATCCATCAAAGCCCTCGCTCTACATGAAGGCTCAGCTCTGGCAGAGCCAAGGCTGACTTAGACCAGTTTTGATTTCCCATGGCATTCCAGCTGGCACCCACAAGCCAGCTTCAGGAGAGCATGCAAAATAAGCAGGACTGCAGCTGTACCTTCACGTTAACCAACAGCTCCCACAGGTTGCGAGGGGGCATCACGATAGTGGTGTTCAGCTCGATGACGTAGCATTTATCCAGCGTTATGTCATGATAAGCTGTCAGACCCTGTGTTCCAAGCACAGAAAATAAGGAATTGAGCCCTTCGCTATGGAATGTGGCTGTGAAAACAGGTGAAAAGAGGGAATTCAGGGAAGACAATAAAATTGCTTTACAGCAAACTTGTCCAAGGACCTCCCTACCAAGCAAGATGAGCAGGTTGGAAAACCTCAGAGAAGGTCTTGGGAAGGAGGACAGCTCAGTAATAAGATCATCATAGACATATTGGACAACAGTGATAGCATGGTGCTGGTGCTCAGCCCCGTGCTACACCCCCAAAGGCCCCAAGAGCTCCTTACTCGCTGGAAATCATGGATGATATCGGCAGGGTCACTCCCTCCAAACCGTGGCAGCGGGACATTGATTTGCTCATAGTTCTCCTCAATGTAGATCTTGACGTCCTCGTGCAGCTCCAGCTGCCCTCTGAACGGTGAGTACAGAGAGTCTTCGTAGAGGACGCCGCAGTGAAACACGCTCTCACGGGGCAGCTGTGGGGATGAGACCCAGGTTAGAGGTACACCTCTCATACACCCCACATCCCATGAACAGCTGCAGCAAAGACGGGAAGAATCATACCCACACTGGG